CTCCTGGAGTGGGCTCAAGGAAAAGCAATATCCTGGCCAATTGATTTTTGATTATGTCCCAACAACAACAACAACAACAAGTACAACAGCGGCATAGGAGAGCGAGGCAATAACTAATCTGCAATCGGCAGGGCCAGCAAAAATTGTCAACGCAAACGAGCCGAAAAATATTATTGCACTTTCTGGCTTTTGCCAATCAACCGTTTATTAAGAGATGCTCTCCACCATCCGTCCCATCATCCACCAACCGACCCACCTGATCCAACTTTCCCAACTAGCTGGCCCGGCAAATAATATTTGCATTGGGGCTAATCGAATTTTGATTGTAATTCTCTGCAGAGCTCTCGCGGCTCTTTCCCGTCTCTGATTGATAATTTTGAAATTGGCTTTTGAAGTGCGGCCTTCTGTGGCAAAGTGCATTTCTATGTAGGCTTCGATATGGTTTCTCTGTCACATGCAAATCACGGCGAGCAGAAAAACCCGACTGCATGCTGCAACTTACCTCTCGACATCCTTTCGATGTTATTATCCTTACAGCTGTTTAATCAGCCATTAGGCATAATGCGCAATTAATGTTGCATAACGAACCGAGCAGATATCGTAAACAAGTCGGGAATGAGGGGATCATCGTTCAGGTCGTATATATGACAGAGCAGACCATTAGGGCACGGAACTGCAATCATAAGCAGGCTGAGGGGGGAGGATGACGGCGACACAATAAACAGGTTCATAATAAAAAGCCGTTGGGTCTTTGACACCCACCCCATCGTTATAATGCGATATAACCACATCCACAAACACCCCGGCAAGGCAGAGAACCATCCACCAGCCCATAAAATCAAAGCAAATCACTTGTTATCCCATTTCCAGCCACTGTTCCCCGGCCGTGTAATTTAGCCGATACTTAATTTCTGACTTCTGCTTCCATTTGCTCGCCCCTCGTGAGCATTTCTGGATCTACGCCTGGATCTGGGTGCTATTATCTGCGGCCTGCCACAAGAAATTGCTTTTTCATGAACTTGACTCATTTATTATTTGCAACAGTTGCCCGCCCTTTCCCCTGGTTTTGTTTGCCTTTGGCCGGTGGCGTCTCTGTCTTTGTTGCTGTTTTTGTTTGTGTCAGTCCTGAAGTGAAAATTAAAAGTCCAAACATGAAAATGCTTTTGTATGGAACATATGGCTGAAATTTTTTGGGCCGCCAACTTGTTTTGGTTTTCTATTTTTTGTCTGTCTGTCTGTGCAGTCTGCAGATTGAAAGTTCTTTTGAAAAGTTGAGAGAATTGAGCAGTTAGGCAGACGAACAAATACAGATTTGTATTGTTAGAGAATAAGAGGTTGTTTGTATTGGTATTCATTAAAACTCAAATTAATAAATTAAATGAATAAATCTTTGATTTGTTCAAATATTTTCAAACATCTGTTATATGAAGAAAATAAAGAAAAAATATTTTTTCAGATTTTCTTTATAGATTTCTTGAATTTTTTTTTTATAAAGTTAGTCATATGTCAAATAACAACAAAGATTAATTCATAATATACTTTACTTGTAGAATAACATAACGTTTCCTAACTTAATGATAAAATTAAACAAATTCGGATATCAATCTTTAAATTAAATATATACAGTAATTTTATACCTCCGTTAGTAAAAATAGTAAACATATATATTTTTGTAATAGGTTTATTAGCTTATTCATTTCAATATTAAAGTTGCGAACAGAATTATAGCCATTAAGGGTAATGTTTGTTTGTTATTTATTACAATTTTAAAAATATTTTTAGATTTAAACTTTAACCTTTAACTAATGGCTCAATTTATGGACTTAATTTAATCATTAAATTTAATTTTTAATATAAGGTTGTTCTTTTAATGTGCGAAAGCAACATTATTTGAATAGGTTTTAAGAATGTATTATTTTGCTTCGCAAATATCCAAAGAAAATACCCCTTATATGGTCGCATAAAAATGCGTGTGATTTGACTTTTTCATGGAAGTCAGCCACTCAACAGCTGATAATTTATTCATAAGGGTGAAGCTTAAAAAATTACCGTTAGACCCACAATTTAACGCGACATAAGGAGCTATTTTTTATGCTTCAAATTGGGTGCAACTGAAGGAAGCCGCAAAGGAACCAGGAGTAAAAACAAATCAAAAGCAAACACTCCCATACACATACCCATACAAAGTGGGATTGCCTGGCACACACCCTCAAATATTGTGAATATATATATACGTACACTTTTCAGGCAGACATAAAAAATAAATGTTTTGTTTAACCGACATTTTAACGCCTATTTACGTGCCGTGCACGTCATGCACGTTATGCCAATTTAATGGCTCGCAGCCTTAGACCAAAAAAGCAGGCAATGACTTTTGGCTTTTTCTTCCTCTTCTCCCCCCTGTCCGCCTCTTCTTCTTCTGCCTATTTCCGTTCGTATTCTTCGTGTGGGCGTGACAGTGTGTGTGTGTGTGCGAGAAGGGAAATGCTCTCACACGAATATGGCTAGCAAAATAAAACAGCAAGCTAAATTTAATTTACCGAACTCAATAGGCCAGAAGGAGATGGCAATACGAATAGAGCCTGGGAGAGAGCGAAAGAGAGGGAGCGAACATAGACCAGACAGTCAGACATTGTCTTAAATTATTAAATTAAAAGTTAATGAATAGAGCAACGCATAAGCACGTAAAAAACATAAACAAGTCAAGGTCGCCGACACGGCCCAACCCCCTGGAATACATATATACACACCCTATTATCTCACCCTTGCTCCATCCATTATCCCTTGCACAATCTGGCACATTAGCGTCCCTGGTGTAACATCCAGAAACCCAGTGATATTGCAACTTGAACAACCTGCGATAGTTTCAGTTCTTCTCGGTTCAGATGGGTGCACAGAGAGAAACCGATTTTTAAATCCCTACACAGTTTCTTTAATCAGAAAATGATTATAATTAAAATTTCAAAGGAATTTCCGAGACAAAAACATTGTTGGTTTTGGTGAAGTCTTTTAAAACTATAAATGTTTTCTACAATGCAAATATATCATGTATGTTTGAAGATTATTTTGCAAAAGAAAGACTTAAGCCATTTTGACAGAAACAAATTTCTCATCAAAGCTTTTTTTTATATTATTTTTTTTCAACATTTATTTATTTATTTTTTTTTTCAACAGTTTTGAGTTTATAAGTTTACATATTCTTTATAAAAAAACATACTGAAAGTTCAGCTGAGGTTACCTTATATCAAAACAAACTTAAGTTCGAAAACATTGAACAATATGTTATATCAAAGTGTAGGTTCATTTTATCAACAAAGCGTTCTTAATGCGACACTCTTATTTTTGAATTTAGATCGATTTTTTCACCGCCTGAACTGGTCGGATTCTGGTTCCGTCTGTCCTTGTCCGACATATGACAAACCCACTGGGGACCATCAGGCCATCAGAAGGCCTTACAAGCAAAGTTACTTTGCTCGAAACTTGCCATTTTTCTTTCTGGCTCTCGCGTCGCCCCCTTTCTCGCTTGCCTTCTCACTCGCTCCCTCGCTTTTGGCCCGCTGTTTTGGCCGTATTCCTTTGCCATTAGTCTGGCGCACTCAGACAGAAACAGAAACAGTCGACGCCGACGCCGACAGTCGGTGACAGCTCAAGATTGGCCACGAAATGCTGGGATTTATAAATGCTATATATCCGTACATACGTATGTATGTTTCCGAAGGTGTGTGGTTGGGTGTGTGTATAACGGTTAAGTTGTCAACCCGACTGCGAGTGATGTGGATGCGAAGGCCTGATGGGTTGGCAAAACCGTTTCCATGTCACTAATCATTCATCGACTGGCACTTTATTCACATTTTTTGTAGTACCGCTCAAGGAAGGCAAAAAAAAGTAAACTTAAAAGGAATACCGGAGCTGAAATTTGAGAGCTAGAATTCCGTGCAATCTGCAGTACCATAAAGTACATCCTGCCCCTAAATGTAGGCAACCCTTTTCGCCCCCCCCCTGAAGGTTGTCTGTACTAGTGTAAGTGTGAGTGTGAGTGGGTAAGAGGTAGGAGGCTAAGGGTTGTGTGCTTGTGTACTGCCTTGTAAATGTCAAAACCTCAACGTGTCTACGTTGTTCGGCTGCGCTGTTCTTATGCATATGGAAATGCCAATTTGAAGCGAACACATCCGACATGGGCCTCGACCTCTCCGGCCCTAAGACAAAAGCGTATCGAAGGTCCAGCCAGGATTCGCTGACCGAAGATGCCAAATTGTCGGGGAAGTGGGTGGGCGGCCGAGGAATTTACATATGGAATTTATGCGCATGTAAATCTGTTTCTGATTCTGCGAGAGTGTGTGTGTGTGTGCCTGTGTCGAGACATGTTTTGACTGTCACGACGGTAATTGATCTCGATTAAGACCGTGTTTGTAGGAGGCAGCAGCGCCGGAAGAAGTCTGAAGGGTTGGGTAGGAGTGGCCCAACACGGCGCCGAAACACACGCACTTACAGGGCTGTCTCAGCAACAATCATTTACCTGGGAAACCCCTATCAGAATATTAAATGTATCTTACTAAGGTTGGCTACCCAATTATATATTTATTTTTTATTTATGTGGAAAAGACAAATGTTTAGATGACTATCTCATCTTTAAATTGCCTCAATTAGATATAAAAGCACACGAACTTTTCTAATTCCAAATTTTTAGGGAAATAACTTCGATTGAAATCAGGTATCTGTGTTACTCAAAGATTTACCTGAAATCAAAAAAAAAAATTTAGGTAATACGACTAATGTAAATTATAGGGCTACTTCTTTAAGTTGTGTATGTTTTAGTTATACCAAAGTTGAAGCTTATTTTAATTACGCGCACAACTGACTAGTAATAATGAAACCAAAAATGACTTCTAATAACTTGGTTAATTTGATGTTGACATCTTTTTCTTGCCTGAGTGTTGAGTGTCTAGGTAATCGTAAAACTTAGATACAAATATCTAACCTCTCACCCCTTTTCGTTGCAGGTCTGGTTCCAGAACCGTCGGGCCAAGTGGAAGAAGCGCAAGAAGACCACCAACGTGTTCCGCACCCCGGGCGCCCTGCTGCCCTCTCATGGACTTCCGCCGTTCGGGGCCAACATCACCAACATCGCCATGGGCGATGGCCTCTGCGGCACGGGAATGTTCGGCGGAGATCGCTGGAGCGTGGGAGTTAACCCCATGACGGCAGGTGGGTGATCCATAGCCCTTTGCAAAGGCGCACCTAACTAACTATCCTACCATCATCACCCCTTACTAACTGCTGCTTTTTTGGAACGGGGAATGTGGAATGTGGGCGCAGGCTTTGGCCAGCTGAATCAGTCGTCGCCACTCTCGTCCTCGCTAAACAGCGGCCTGAACTCGGGCATTAACATGGGCTCCGCCCTGGGAGCGGGCAGCTACCAGCACTACGGCCTCAACGCTCTGGGTAGGTGTTGTGTCAGGCCCCGGTTCCGACCCCCAAGAAACCTCTGCCATGATCACATGCCCGGAAATTTTCCATCTGCATGCGACTGACAAAAGCCAAGCGTTGACACTTTTTCGCCTGCCATGTTTTTATTTTTGGGGGCTTTGTTCGGCTCTCGGCTGTTTGCTTCTGGCGATTTATTTGCTTAGCTTTCGATGCCATTCAGTTCCAGTTTGAGTTCCAGTTTGAGTTTCAGTTTGAGTTCCAGTTCTGCCGACAATTGACCAAACACGACGCAGAGTCCGCGTCTCATTTCTTTGAACTCATAACACTTTTTTTCGGTAGCCCAAAAACATATGCATGCGTATGGGTAGTACCACATAGTATCATTTATAATGCCCCGGGTTGCTTGTTTGTTCGATCAATTAACAGCCAGTCGTTTAATTTTCAGGAATACCCAAAGGCATTTTTTCATCTTCTTTATTTGGTTTCGTATAGTTGTGCTAATTGACATTTTGGAGACATGTTCATGTCGATTTTTTATTTTTCGGCTCCGGCTACCGTCAGCAAAGTTTTCATTGTTACACTTTTTGTTGAAGATTTTTAATTTATTGTGCTCTGCGCACAAAACTCACTGGGTGACATGACATAACGCCCTCAAAAGTTCCGACTATGAAAAAGTCTTATGATATATGTATGTAAGAATCTTGTGGGCTTGTCCGAAGTTATCAATCAAAGTTTATTTTAACCAATACAGCGATGTGTATATTAATACCTTAATTAAAAAAACCAATTTATTGGTTAATTTTATGATTTTTTTCGGATATTCTTTATAGGCTGTTTTAGGTTTAATACTTGTATGTCTTTGTATGAACTATTTGTTTTATAATGTCTTTTAAAAATAACTGTATTATTGGATAATGTTTTTCTTTTCATATACAATATATTTGGAACGTATTAAGTAAAATTCTAAAGCTCGCACCTATAAGCCTTTTAAAAAGCAATGATTTATATTTTTTGTCTGTGCGCGTTAAAGAAGGGTTTCTAATTGTGCTTCTCGTACTCTTTCCCTTCAGGCGACTCCATGATGTACCAGCACAGTGTGGGCGGGGTCAGCTGTGGGCCCAGTGGTTCGCCGAGCGCCACCACCCCGCCGAACATGAACAGCTGCTCGTCGGTGACCCCGCCGCCACTTTCCACGCAGCCGAACTCTAGCCAAAACGAGCTGAATGGCGAGCCCATGGTGAGTCCACACTAAAAAAATAATAAGGGGTTAAAACATTTATATAACAGATGTTGTTACTTAGAGTAATAGTAAAATAATCTGTATTTAAAAAAAAGGAAGATACGTTTCATATATCTCTAAGGCTCTAATATAAAAATGAAAATGTAAAGTACTAGTCAAAATCTTAACTTACAGTCCAACTTAGCTCAAACAATAACAAAAATAAAAAATATATAAGGTTTTTTAATCATAAACAAAGTTTTATCTTGTAAGAATACTTTTTAAATTTTAAGATTTTAAAAAAACTTGGGATCTAAAACTTTTAAAATTAAAACAAAACTTTTTAATAGGTTAATCATTAAAATAAGAAGAAGCTACAGAATATGTGCTTTAATGATTTGGTTATTGTTCATTACTATTATATAAGATTTGTTTTCTTAACTTTATCATTCAAATAGTATTTGATATATGTTTATTTTATCATCTAACAGAAAATGTTTTTTAATAAGTGTTAAGTATATTGCATGTCATGGCATTGTTTAATTTTTTAAGAAAATTAAGTTGCCGACTTCAGCTAAGGTTTTTTTTTTATTTCAAAGCCGTTTAAATATATACTAGAAAGGCTTTAAAATGTAAAATCTTTAGATAAGCCCATAAATATATGATTTATATATAAAGAGTATATGACATATATGTCTCACACATCTCACATGCATGAGTACAATCTAAAATTTTCTGCTATTTAACAGCCACTGCACCAGCAGCAACAACAGCAGAGTCACCAACAGCAGCAGCAATCTCACCAACAGCAGCAGCAACAGGCTCACCAACAGCAGCAGCAGCAAGCTCACCAACAGCAGCAAGTAAGTCACCACGGTTCGTGCATCGGCTATATTCGTTTCACCATTCTCTACCCAACCACAGATGGCGCCACCGACACCCACTCTTCGACCAGGTCAAGAACTTCAAGGTGGTGGACAAGGCGACGCAGGACTTCCGCTCTGCCACCAGTCCATGCAGTCGCCGACAGATGGCGCCACCGATGACGACGTGTGGCGGGGACACAGCATCGCAGCGCTGCGACGGCGGGCTTCGGAACTCAATGCCACCGCTATTCCATCCTATTTACATCACCACAATTATGAGCATCACAATTCGGTCTACTGAAATTTGTTGAAGAGCTTCGAAAGCTTTTCGGATTACGGGTTCACCAACTGCGGAGGTCCCGACTTGGGCTAGGATGTTGTAATTGTAAAGTTCGTGTAACCGGCCGTTGGGGATTCAAAATGCGAAACTGCGGCAGCGAAGCGTTATAAGATAACCAAAACCTAGGCTTAGGGCATTGTACAATTTATGTGTTTGCATTATTTGTTTCATGATTTCCAAGATTAAACTTAAAAGACTATAATGAATGTAAACCATGTATACGAGAAACGAAGCTTGAAAAGGCACTAACGATTGGAAATCCACGATTACGATTACGTGTGTTTTCGAAACTAGCTCCTAAGCCAACTATGAAACTATTCCCGCATGAATATGTAGACACTAGACTTAACATTTGCCGTAAAGAATACGAAAACTGTAAAAACTTGATCGCAAGCGAGGATAGGAGGAAAAGAGTCCTCGGGGCGGCACAATAATTTTTGGCAAGGCGATGTACCCGAATTCGCGCTTAGTTCGTATGTAAGCATATTTATGCCTAGGTGTGTATGTAAGTAGATCTATTCTTATGTAAGTGTTGTTGTTTTTGTGTATAGACAGTATCCTTCCATTCCGTTCCGTTGCTATCACTTGATCTAACCATACGATACAACCCATAGAATATCAAACGAGCAGCCCCAACTATAGCAAAGTGACACTGACGCCGCTCAAGTCTCAACCTAAAACCGTTTCAGAGTGCACGCATCCAATGGATTACTTTTACGATTACCAATTACAAATTAAACAAATAAAAATACAATTATATACACATACATGCATACGATTATGGCATACTTGTAATAGACTTCCTTGTATCGTTTAAGCCTAAATTTAATTCCAACTAAAACAAAAAACGAAACACAATTACTATGTATGTAATTATGCGTATTATTAAATAGTAAACTAAATTAAAAATTGAACGTGATTTGCATACATGAGAAGTGGAGGTGGAACAAAAACTATTTCATGATGTGGTAATTGATATCAGTTGACTGTCGAAAACATTGTTGCTGATTGGAATATGGATGGATGGATTTTTTGTTTTGTAAAAAGGACACCTATTTTGCAGGAAATTATAATATCTATATGTTTGTGGGGCGAGCGAGTCGATCATTGAGCGTTTAAGCTTTATTTGTAAATTGATAATTAAAAAAAAAGAGGAAACACAAAATAATACAAGTTAAAAAAAAAAGATCAAAAACGCAGATTTAAAAGATGACACTCAAATTTTTTGTAGGAGAAAATTCTTGAAAAATATTTTTTTTTAACGGAGAATAACAACGGCCAAAAAACCCAAGTACAACACAACTATGACTTCATTCACCTGTTTCCTTGCCTTTTTATTTTACCGCAGGATGGAAACTCTACCTTAACTATAAAATGTATATTTCCTCCTTTCAAATAATATGACTATTGTGTTTATAAGCAATTTTAGCTGTAAGTTTCTTTGCCTCTATCATTGCCTATAAGTTATATCACAGGAAAACAGAAGACATGGTCCATCGCACTAACTTGACTTAAACGCTGAATAGAGAAACAGTTTGCCTAATGTTAAAAGCAAAATAAGCCATAGGAAAGCTTGCGACCTTTTTTGTGCTAATAGCATGTAGGTATTTTTAAAAATATTATTTTTCAGCATAGCTCTCCTCAATGGATCCGTCCCCTTATTATTCAATAGGGGAATTGATTTGGGGAATATTTTGATTGTTAGTTGTTTAGTTTGTATTTATCAATTGCAGAACCGTTGGGGGGTTGAGTGTGGGGCTTGCATATTTCTTCGTTCTAAAGAATCGGAGATTGACCACTGCCCACATTTTGCCGCCTTTGCTCCCTGATCCCCTTGCAGATGCAATTACAATAATTGAATGGGATTGGGACGACGGACAGGCAGATGCTCAAATGTCAAATAAGTTTAAGCTGAAAATTGGCAAAATTGATAAAACTTTGACAGTGTGCACATACACAGCCACAGCCACAGCCACGTTGATAAGAGTCTGGTTTATGAGAGTGTGTGGCCTGGGGGCAGGACGATTTCCATTGGCCGTGACACCAGTCCTGGCCCAGTCCGTCTGATTGGGGTCAATAAGGGGCAGGACAGCATGAGGGCAGGCCGGCATTCGACCGACTGGATGCATGGGCTTATAAATTTTATAATGCTGCCTGACATTTGACATGCACATTGTCACGACAATTGGCCCGTGGAGCATGCAGTTGGACCCGTAACCAGAACCCGAGTCCGGATTCCAAACCCTAAACCTACAGCCCGAGGCTCCAGCCGGGGAGCAAACTTAATCACACTGATGGCACTTTTATGCTATCTGTTCGGGTATGTATATTCGATGCAAAAGCGCACATAAACAATTTAATAAAACGGGGTCAGCACTGAGAAAAACTAGTCGTTTTAAATTTATTAAGGTTTCTAAGGTAGTTATTATTAATACTGGACATGCAAAAATATATATAGGTAACAGTATGTTTTACAATTCCAACCAACCATGCTAACAGTTGATCAGACTTTAAAGATATCAATTTTTTTGTCCTATTAAAATCTATAACATTTCTAGAAGATTGTGCTACATTTTTAATTTTATCCGAGATACAGCTTAAAAAGTTGTACGCTCATTGCTTTCATTGTCACTTGAACCTTTAAACGGATTTTTTTTCTTGAAACTGTGTTTTTAAAGTCGGTAATCAAGATGTGTTGCGAACTACTCAACCGATCTTAATGAAACTTTTCACAGGTCTTTGAGATATAATTTACAATTAAAAAAATAAAAACGTCGAGAAATTTTTACCAAAACTAGTATTTTTGTAAAAATGTTTGTCAAAAATACAATTTTCACTTTTTTTCCCTTGTCCAATACCTAGTTTATGGTCGTAACTATTTCTTACTTCTGATGACCCTGCAAAAAGTTCTGCTGTCAATGCGGAGAGACCTTGTTTCCAAGTTTTAAATATATATTATTTTAAATATCACAAAATCTTTAGTAAATACGTATATTTAAAATAAATAAGGTTGAATAACAAAAATATACTGAAAAGAGACGTTTTTCGTAAGAGGAAACCCATGTAACCCCTTAAGTAAGCATAAAATACTCCATTTATCCATTACAATTTTATTGCTTGAAGATGTCACCAATGAAAAAACGTATAATTTGGTGAAATTTTCTCACTGTGCCATTTGGGCGAACGACAATTTTATATTCTGATGTGGAAGGTGGAGAGGAAGTCGGGCGCCCGGAGTATAACGTGCTCGAACTCCAAAATTGATAACTTGCCATCACCATCGACGTCGGCCTCCTCGATTACCTTGTCGGCAATCTGCTGGTGCTCCTCCGGACTCAGCTCGTTCTTGGTCATTGTTGTCAGGCAGGACATGAGGTCGGCATGCCCGATGAAGCCGTCCTGATCGAAATCTGCAAAGTTATGCCAGACATAAGTACACACAAGTGCCAAGTGGGTGGTTTGGTGGGTTGTTCGGTTAGGGGAATGGCGATGGCTTACAAAACTTGACATTTTCTTGCACAAAAGTCAAGTGATGTGTGCCAAACTGAGTTTGCCTAGCAACCTGCCACGTTTGAGTCCTTCTGGCGCTCAGGTAATCGCCTGCTGCACGTTTCAATTTGTGTCAATCTAATAATGCACATTGAAATAAAGTGTACCTGCCTCTCCACCGCTTGACTTTTGGGAACTACATAGTTAAGCAAAAATTTCAGCTGCACTCGACCTGAGAGATACTTTGCATCCCATATTGATCGCAGTCCCCACATTCTATGGACTTCGGCCCATTAATTTTGAGTGCCAAGTGCACAATCAATTTGCACGAAAACTTTTGCCCCATTTATGGTGGCATTTTTCGGATTCTAATTTAAATTTCAATTAAAATGCTTATTAGAATTTATGGCTGCCCTTGAACTTAGGTCCTGCAACAGCCGTGCACAAGCAACAATAGTCGCCTGGAACGGCGCCACAAACTGCCGAGCCGCGAGTCACGAGTTGTATGCCACACTTGGAGGCCAGGGCCATGTGCCACACAGATCCCTTTCACCCCAAAACAGGACAAAAAGGACCAGCACACACTCACGCACCGAGAGCAACTACACCAAAAGACAATAAACGCGGGCTGTGGAAATGCATAAACAAAGGCTCAAAATGCTGGCCAGCAGCTGGAGCTGTGAGTGTAGATGGAGCTGGAGCTTTAGATGGTCTGCCCCTCGACACCAGTGATGGCAGCCATGCAACCAGGATAGTTCCGTACTTTCCACCTTTTCTGCACACATTGAGAACGATGTTTTTTCTGTTTTAGTTGAACTTTTGGCAGACAACAATTGAGAATTGGCAGGGATTGTTCTAAATTGTATTTTGAAATTGTAACTCTATATTTATGTTTCTCAGATAAAGGCAATATTTGCGTTAAGCGCTTTAGGAATTAAAGCTATGGATTTATTCTCTCTCTTTAGAGCTTAGCAAGGCAAAAACTGTACGAAAGTATCTAGTTGTTAAAGGTTTAAGGTTTAGAATACGCATTGCTTTAAAAAATAAACCCATTGTGAAAAGGTAATATAAAACGGAGATGAAATTTAAATTTAAAAGCTGTACAACTAATTGGCTTTGTAACTTTCTTGGAATGAATGTACATTTCTTAAAATGAATTTTACCTATTCATTTCTTGCAGCAAAAAGCGAATTATAAAACTGAGTAACAGCTTACAAGTATTTAATATCCTCAAACTAAGTCTTCTTTTGCAGGGCACTTTTTTCACAGTTCACTAAAATATTGTCTTTTCCCATCACTGGCTGCAGCCAGTTGAAAATGGGAGGAGCGCTTACTTACCATAAATTTTGAAAGCGTAGAAAACTTTAATGTCCCTCGGCGCCTGCTCGCTAAAAACGGAGAGGGCGTCCAGAAAGTCCTCGAAGGATAAATTGCCCTGGCCATCGCGTGAGAAGGCCTCGCCTGTGAAAACGGAAAATTGCTATAGTCTTTTCGGGGTAGGGTCGCTATTTGGCTTTGCTTTGCTTTGCTTATGCAGGCATTTGGCGGCCTGGTCCTTTGTTACGAATACGCACATATTCGCCGGCGAAAGGGATTCTCACGCAACTCGGGCATCTTCTCAATGCACTCGCAGGGAACCTTAACACTCGAGGCCTGACCTTCGGTCATTTGGCGAGGCACCAAATCCGGCCGCAGCTCACGAAATCGTTTATGCACGCTGTAAAGTATAGGACAACAAAGATGGGGAATAATCTTCGGGGACCGAAGTTGGCAATACCCTTGAATAGTGACTTTCGACTAACTAAAAAGTATTAAAATGCTGGCAACTGCTACACTTTCCTTAATAGGAAACTTCTGTTAAAATAATTGAGTTGGAGGTATTCGAATAACTTTCAGAAACGTTATTTTAAATGTAAAGACTACTTATTTCATTATTTCCTTCATTTAAAGTTTAATCTACATTCAATTTTTACTATTAATTTCAAACGATCGATCAATGCACAAAACTATTTGTCTTGGCGTCTTTTCTTAATGCAACAGTTCAGTATATTCTTAGTTGAATAGAGCTGTGATCTCAGGTTAAACTACTCTATTGGCTAATTCTACTTTAAATAAAATTATTATTACTTAATGCAGATTTAAAAGAGATCGATCAATAAACTCAACTATCTGACTTGGCGATGCTGTCTGAGTGGATACTGCCCCAAAATGGTAATCTCCTGTGAAAGGGTATAGAAAGTGATGCGATGGCGGGTTCAAAGGGCGGAGCCATGAAAGGCTTTGTGTTTCTGAGTGTCTGTCTGCTGTGGGCTGTCGTGTGGGAATTTTCCTCTGCTTCCTGCTTTTTGTTGCCGCCGAGTGCCAAACAAAAGGATGCTGCGAACAATGGCAGCCGGTGCTCTGTCGCCGCCATATGAAATGGAGTAGTTTTGGCTTATTACGGACATACAAATGGCCTACCGCAGGATCTCCTTGCGCGTGAAGAACGTACAATCCTTTCCGAAATGTGGAGCAGCGACATTGCATTAAACCGAATTAGTTGGGTGGTTCTGATCAACTGATTGATTGCTCACCTGGTAGTCGTCCAGTTCCTGCTCCGTAAATGTCACAACTTTGTTGCCCATCGTTTGGTTTTCACTTGCGTAGCTGCCAGCCAACCTGGTTAGTCCCGAGCGTGAATAGCAACTGACAACGTAGCCGAGTGAGCCCGGGTGTCCCAGCACCAACTCCCATGGCCATAACTTTGCATAGCTCCACAGTTCCGCGGCTGCGGACACATCCTGCGGCGCCTGGCCAGCGTATGGCGCCCGCATTCGCATGGAAATTAATTAAGGAGTGTTCAGGCGCGCCACTCCCCCATCTGTCCACCTGCCCCACAACTATACCCACACCCTCACATCGTGGCTGTCACAGGACTGCGCCGTGTATCCTGTGGCTTGTTCGCCGCTGCTGCCTTTTTCGCTGTCAAGCTGTGGCAAAAACCGTTTTTAGAGGTGCGCCTCAACAAAGTAACTACAGAAATATGGAAAAACTAAGCCAAGTCTATCTACCGAATAAAGGGTACCTAATAATCAAATTAGGCGAATATCTAATGGCAAAATAAAAAAATTCTCATAGCTCGGAAAATCGAAGGAACAATTTACTAATCCAAATTTTTTATACAATATAGATTTTTTCTGTAAGTTGTATAATTAAGTACTAATTTGTCAATGTCATGTTAAGATTCTAGTTCGTAATCTGCCAGAGAAAGTTTGCAAGAAGTAAAATTTTTTGGAAACGTAAATGCGCTTTCTTAATGCACTGTTAATTTTTCAAACAATTTATTTTTCCTTGAGTTAATATTTTCTTAATACAAAAGTTTTAACATACAAAATTAGAATTCGTACCAAATTTCTTTTATTGACAAATCCTGCCGCCTTGTTTATAAAGCAGACAAAATACATGATTAACATTTGCTTCCTTACAACAAGTTTTGCTAGTTACCAAGTTAAAATCCTTCCAAAAACAGTAAGACCTCGGATTAGCTTCGCTCCCGGCCAATTAGGCAGATTTAAACCAGGAACATGGCTCAGTCGTAGTCAGAATGTCTGACACTCTGAGCGCTTAATAGTCTAACATTCCGCCTTTCACTTACAACCACTCAAACAATCTCAACATACCCTTGTCCCCAATAAAAGGGCATGAAAAAGAACTGCAAAGGCAGCAGCAGAAAAAAAGAGCAACCTAATTTATATTGAGGAGAAAACTGTAGCACAGTTTTGTGAGCTCGACAGTCGATGCGTGTGGCTTTTAGTTGGGCGTAAAGTTTATTAATTAATTTAATGCTCGACGGCACTTTTCAATTTCACGTGTCTGCGCTATGAATTTATGAAAGTGACTGTCGGGCTTCGGGTCCAGATCGAGCACAGTGAGCTTGGTTAGAAAGTGATGACCCAGCAGGGAGACGCACCACGGCTGCAGTGGAGATGCGCTGGAAAGGATTGGGGATTGGATTAGCACCGGAGCAGCGGGTGGCGGCATTGTGTGGCCATTACTTACCACTGCCCAGCCGGGCAATCGGTTTCACAATCGATTTCGATTTCCTGAAACGTCAACATAATCGAGCAGTCCAGAGCCGTTGCCCCCAGCATGTAAGCCTGCTCTTCATCCGGCTCGAACTCCGCCTCCTTGCGCTCCTTCCGCTCCTCAATGGAGGTCAGCAGGCCCCGGAGCGAGTTGTAAGTGGGCTGGCAGTGACCGGCGTACCCGGAATGCCACATGAAGTCAAAGTGGCTCTGCAATTGCCAAGAAATGTTACTCGCACAGCACAAAGCCACTTGGCCGCCATCCATTGGCCATTTAGCCGCCTCTTCGAATAAACTTTCAACTCCCTGACCACCTGAGCACTCGCAGAAAAAACAGGGAACTAGCTAGGGGTACTAAACTTTCGGATACTCTAGCAAAATCTTTGGCATAAGTTATTTGATAAAATATAAACTAATTGTTGAAAAATAATTAAATTGGTTTTCTTAATAAAGTTAAAAAAGGATATTAACAAGCAAAATCGGCAATCGAATTTAAGTCCCCATTATCTAATGTATGTTCCCAACTTTAAGAGGTAAACAATGCGCTGTTTCAGACTTAAATTACTTGCTGCAAGGGCATAAAAACCCACTCGAACTATCTGCAATTGCCAAGGTTCTCTTAGGGCAGGAGAAATAAACAAATCCTGCCTGACAACGGAGTGGGCGGTAGTTTGATTGGTTGGCTTACCTTTACCAGCAATTGCAAATTTAAAATTTTTTGCAGCACACAATTGTTTGGTAAGCGAAATATTTCCGCTTTGTTGATTTGTGCTTGAGTTTGATTCGCAGGCTCACCCTCACCCTCATTCTCATTCCGAATTCGGCTTTCATTTTGAATCTCATTCCGACTCGTACTAGGAGTTGCCAGTGTTTCCGTTTCCGGTTTTTTTTCCGTCCGACTTGCCGTTGCCAGTTGGCTTCTCAATGTTGCTCCTGCGACCGTTGTTTCCATTCTGGCCATTTTTGTGTACCTTTGGGTCGTGGCTGTTGCAGCAGCTGTTCTTGTCCGTGTCGACGATTGACCAGCAGTGACAACAGGGGCGGCTGCCCTGCCTCCACACTGCAGGACAACATTAGCGGCGCCAATTCCAGCAGCTCCGGCTTTTGTCTCCGTCGCCGCAATTGAAACGCGGCTCTTATTCAGCTGCTGCTGCTCCTGTTTCTGGTCTTGATTGGGGCTCTCTGGCCGGTTGGATTCCGGGTCCTGCACAGAGGAAAATCAAAAGAACATAATCCCCTTATTGTCATCTCTATGATTTCAATTTATTTTTAAGAAGTTAGCAATGCGAATGTGTTTAAAAATATTTAAGTAGAGTCTTGGTTTTTGAGTTAGGAAGGAAGTTATATTTAAAATTAGTAGGGACTTTAAGTTACTTTCAAAGATATTTTATTACCACAAAATAAATATATATATAAGGTTCTAGAGGAATCTATCATTAGTACGGAATTAAATCAAAATAAACTACATGTGTAAATAGTTTCATATTTGTTTCATAATCTTTGTTAGGAAAAATTCAAAAGAATGATTTGATTAAGGCTATTAAGTATATGTTTTAAAAATAAGCATAACATTTTTTTCAATATTTACTAATGAGAAATTGGTGAGAAATTTACTTAAACCCTAACTTACATTCTTTCAGTGTAGCTCACCTCGTATTCCCTGAGCAAGCAGGCCACCAGCAAATGTTTTATAAGCACCATAATTTCACTGGAGAATTTCAGAGATTTTATGGCCATGGCGATGGCGTTGGCATTGGTTGAATTTTGTTTGTTAGCGTTTTCAATGCGCATTCCCATTTGGTGTGGTCGTTGTCAACGTTGTGCCAAAAGGTGTTGAAGCGACACAGCCACCGAAAAACACAGCCAAGTGGTTGAGGGTGGTGATGGTGAGGGGTTGAGAAAAAGATGAAAGCCAGGTGAATTGGGATCGGGACAGAGAGGATGCTGCCAGGAAAATGGCCACGTTGGCATTTGGCAACCGAGAATTTGTGTTTGGCTGTTGCTTCTTGCATTATTTATTGAATATTTGCGTCTTGCCCGAATTGTTTGAGAGTTTTCCTCCTGCCCCAGATATGTCAGACAAGCAATAACTCGAAGAGAAAATAGTTAAAAACAATGAGAATGATTTATAACTAAATCAAACCCAAATTCTGCATCCCCTCTGTCAATTTTTAGAATCACAGAATTACATCTTCATCCTGCGTGATACTGACTTACATGCATTTCCCCTTTTTTATACCACCAAATCGTATTTATTTAAAAGTCAGCCCCACTTACCCGGGAAAGACAAGCGAGTGCAATTCATCGAAGGAAATCGAATTCGCGTGATCGCCATAAATTAAATTGCCGTTCTGGAATACACGTAAATTATTTTGCGGGCAGGCGAGAAGTGCATCCAAGGCATCGACCATACGACTGGGTGCACTAAAAGCAGAAAAAAGAACCGATGAAACTACATCAGACAACATGTCTCTTTTACAGTGCAGTTTATAATAATAAGGCCTTTTTCTACAATAACAAATTTACCACGTTTCATCTTTAAGGCAACTCGAATTAATCAAAATGGTCTAGTTCTAATTCTTTTAGTAAATTTTATCATAGAATAAAAAATAATTTTTAAACCAAATCACAAAATCTTTTAACATTTTACATTTTTACGAAACTAATTAAAAAAAAGTGATATATAAATTTACTTCAAGCCTACGACATCAATTAAAGATTTTATGTAATGCAAATTTCTATTTAAAAATTAAAATTGCAAGCTAACTTAAAAATACATCAAAAAAGAAAAAATTAACATCTGCTTGGGCCATATAATTCAGTAACATAATACAAAAAATATTCTACTTTTGTCACGTGCTGTATTTATGAATATTACTATTAAAACTGATGTATATCCAAATGGGTTGCGTGAAAGATGTTGGCCTCGAAACAAAAGCAACAGAATTGGCAACAATTTTCGAATGGCAGCGGGCAAGGAGCAGGAGCCATAAAAAGCGGGGTCAGGGCCAAGGGAGGATGCGGAGCAGGCGGTAAACCGGAATGAAAGCGCAAGCAAATTGAATTTTGTGCACGGATGCACGCATGACTTGAAACAGCGGGCCGCAAATAAACGAATGAGTGGGGCGAGGACTGGAGCTGCAGGACTGGGATTGCAATTGAAGTGGACCGGGGGCCGTCGGGAGCATTCAGGCTCCTGTCGTACAATAAAGCAAAAGAACACCGAGACCTGGGGCGAAAAAAAACCCGACACAGAAGCAAAAGGAGTGGCAAACAGTAACCGAAAGTGTTGGAATTATGAAGCACGACAGGACACGCAAATGGAGCAGATTGAAATTTATGACTCGATGTTCGTGCCAAAAGGAGCGACGGTCCGGTGCCTGTTCATTGTTCGGCCAGGTCCGGAGTTCGATGACATACCCGGAGAATAGATCCAGCGGACAGTAGTGGCCCAGACGTTTGATTTTCCCATTGTGCAGCTGTCGAAGGGAGTGAATGAAAAACACTAAAACGACCTTCGTTATCGGCCCTCGCCCACCTCACTCACCTTCAGTAGTTGCATGCTGCAAAAGCGACACCAGCACTTGTCCCGATGCCCGAGCTCCTCCTTTACGTCCCTCTTCTCTTGATTTCGGGGCTCCTCCTTTGGCTCCTCCTTTCGCTTTGTCTCTGCTCCTGCCGGTATTAAATCAAATAAATCGTTGACATCACTTGCCAACTGGAGCCAGCCTTGTTTGGGTTTTATTTCGATGGCATATGTATCGCCCAGACGACGGACACCACTCCTCGTTCCATCTCCTGTTGTGCCCTTTGCCTGCAAAATTATATCGTTTCGCTTATTTGCCCTTATTTCGTCCCGGATCCCTGATCCCGATCCCCGACCCCATCACCATCCCCATTGCCATCCCGGGTAAATGGAGTGGAGTAAAAGGAAGGTGCCGGCATGTCCTGCCATGAAATATTATGCCTGCCGTGTACCGCGAACTTTTGCCCCGGCGTTGATGCCATTTTGACTTGAAAATGCAGCGACGGGAGTGCGGCACGGAAAAAAACCATCATGAATAAGGCCACTATGGTTGGGGATTGGGCTCCACGGACAGGTTATCGCTGCTCCTGCTCCTGTTGCTGCTGCTGCTGCTGTTGTGACATAAAACAAAAGTTGCTGCGCTGATTGTATGATGAGTTATGGAGCCAAAGACCGTCGCAGTTCTGCTCTCCATTCGCGCTTCCCAACTTGAAATTGAAAATTAACATTTAAAGCCGCAATTAAATGGATTTTTTTTTGAGCTCTCACCTTTTTCCTTAGTTTTTCCGGCCGCAATTCGCTCTTGCGCTGGCACACAATATGGCGTTAGTTATGGTCTCGTTGTACCATATACATACATATGCACATACATATGTACCGCTTTCAATGGCCCTTTTTTCTGCCCCTGCTACACTAGTTGTTTGTTTCCTTTGCTAGCAATTTTATTTTGGTCAATGCTTTGGCACCAAAGCCATAAATTCAATATGTACCCGCCGACCACGGCGAACAAATAGCCAAAAAGTGCAAAAAAAAAAGTAAAAGCGGCGGTGGGCAACTGATCGAACCGGGTAGTACCCTGAAGTCCTTTCAGGGGAATCCCCCGCCTCACATTTGCCCCAGGCTAGCTAAGCTACCCGATGGCTGTCCGATTTAGAGGACGCAGGGCATATAATAAAAGTTGCAGCTATGGCGGCACTTTCAAAGCAATTTCGGCATCTTTTATAACCGCACAAGCCCAAACCGAACGAAACGAAACGAATCGAAATGACCAGTGGTTATTGGACATTGGACATTGGTGGGACAAGGTTGCGAGTAACACCAACAAAGTGTTTACACTGTTGCCCACTTTAATTCAAAACAAAGAACCGTTGATTTATGGGCCTTGGCTGGCCGGGCTTTAGCTCCGAATTTGGATGTCGAGGGGGCGGGTGGTTCTTTCGTGGGTTGGTTGGTCAGCCGGATGCCTCGGCACAAAGGCAAACTAAACCGCAGCAGGAGCAGCAAGAGCAGCAACATCGGCGGCAGCTTCAGCTAACGTGTTCAGCACATATGGCCAAAAATGCCAATATTGTCCTTGTACAAAATACACAATTTATTTGGTCAGCGGCAGCACGACTTCGGCCAAAAACAGCAGCCTCAGCATTCAGTCCAATCCAAGAGCAGGAGCAGGAACTGGAGCGGGAGCGGGAGCAGGTGACGACCAACTCACCTGTAAATTGGCAAGTAAAACATCGAACGTGGCAGGCAATTGGGTCACATCTGGCAGCAGCAGACCGAATGGCCCCACAAATTCCTTATCCAGACGCGAAACTGCAACGGGTAGAAAACATATGGAATGAGAATCGGGATGAAGGGATGAATGGGGGGCTGTGGCCCAATGAATGTAAAGTGCAAGCGCCAGCATCCGGCGATTATTGATATATAGACGCCGCTGGGTTAGACTGCGAAGGTGAATGATAAATCGCTGGCCAGTTCTGCAGCGTGCAGCCTGTTGCTGGCTGCCGGGCATAAGCCCGATTTTGATATATGGCCACGACCATGGCGTCCGCCACTAATCAGTCCCATGTGGACGGACTGCTGCTGCTGCTGCCCTGGAAACAGAAACTCACACAGAAACTAAAACTGAACTGAAAGAATCTTCCCTATCGAAAACGTCAGTGGTAGGAACTGACCTGGGACGATGGAGCACTAAAACGCTCGTTTATGATTGATTGCAGTGGCTCTGAAAGGCAAAAGCAAAAAGTCGGTTGCAGCCAAACCTGATGAAATACAAAATTTGCTTCCACAAACTGGCACAATGAAGGTCCGCTTAGATGGCGGTAAAAACCACTTATTGGTGAATAGATTTTCAGTTTACACAGGGAAATAGTGCTATTTTGCATCAAGAAACTCTAAAAACTGTGACTTGCATTAAATAGGTCATATGCATAGCAATCAATCAATTTCATCATTAAAACAAACTCTTCAATGGAAAATCAACACCTGACTTTGCACACCATTTGGTCTACAAGCACTTAAAACCCAAAATGTTATTACTAAATTAAGTTGGCTATTTTTTGCGCAGTGCACTTACTCGGTCTTTGAGCGCGTATGTGCTCGCTTATCCACAATCTATCGTCTTCCTTTGGTATGGCAACAATATCCGCTCCGCAGACAAACTCATTTCCTAATAGACGGCGCATTATCCCGATATAAGCCATAAAATCCGGCATTGTCAAGTCGCCATCTGGAGATGGAGGATGGTCCAGCAGCAGCAGCAGCAGCAGCAGCAGCACAGGGCAACATAGAGAGAGAAATGTGGATAAATGAAATAAACACATTTGATGCAATGGCCAAAAGATGCACAGAGATAGAGAGATTCCCAAAGGCAGCTGGAAGTGAAAAGGGCAAAGGGCAAAGGGCAAAGGGAGAAGGAAGTGGGCGGTGGGTAGTCGTGGGTCGAAATCCAGCCAAGCGGGCAATAACCAAAGCACAATACTCAAATTGGCTGGGAGTTGAGAGCTGTGAGATGGAGCAGCAGCTTGTCTGGGTGTTTGAAGTTGCACGCAACCATTTCCTGTCCAACAAAAAATGGCAAATGTACGGCAGACCAGCTAACAATAACAGGCGGTACCCAGCACTTGCAAAAAAGTCGGACTAAGTGTTAAGTAATCGTAATTTTTAAGCCCGAGTTTTGAATAAAAAAGCCTTATGGCTCTGCTTATTCTTAAGTTAAACTGTTAAATAAATATTTATTAAAACAAAAGCATTATATAATTAAGCAATTTCAGATCACTTCACTGTTAAGAAATCTAAAACTATATATATAGTTTCTCTAACTCTTTAATTCTTTCTGCTAATAACAACTATCATATGTAGTTCAGGCAGTTTAATTTAATACTGGATTGTGAATTAAATATGCAAATTACCTATATAACACCTAGTACAAATTTAAGACATAACCATTACGACAAATATATTTTTTATAAATTCAACTACAACTTCATGGTAAATTTAGCTGATCAAGGAAGGACAAGACTAGTAAATGCTATCTGGAAAATGCATTTTTTTTTAATTCTTACAGTATTTTGTGTTCTAAGGTATACATTTTTCATTGTGCACATACGAACCTTTTTCAGCCCCGACTCCAGCGGATGGGTTGCCCTGCCCTTCCGGCCCAGCGACCTCATCCTGCTCATCCTGTTCATCCTGCTCATGCCGCTCCTCCTGCCGCCGTCCGCTGGATATCATTTTTGGCAAACGTAAAACTTTTTTAAATTGCGGCAAGGCGAGCACCAAATTTGCATTACCCTCCGCCCGATAGATCAACTCAATTTGGCGCAGTTCCATCGCCGCGGGCAGATCCAGCAGGGCGTGCAGATTCTTGGCCGGCCGATGTGGCTGGAACTGAAACTGAAACCGAAACTGGGGCTTTAGCTTTAGTTTTTCCCCGACGCCGGGTGGAGCCTGGGGCGCTCGTGCAGCTGTCATGGCTTATGCGCGGGTGTTTTTGGTTCGTTGCCGTTGTCAAAATGCAACTGGCAACTGGCAACTGGCGCCCTCGGATTCCGCCTGACCTCTGACCCCTGCTCGGTCTGTGGGGCGCCAGTGTTGATGATTGCCGATTGTGGCTTGTTGTGGTCGACTTCTGCGGCTTTACTATTGTTATTGTTTCAGCCCCTGCTCCTGCTCGTATTGCTGCTCCATACTATTTGTCGTGTCGTGGCCACATTTATGTACATTTATTGACCGGCGATAAGATGCAGCAGCCAGGAAGTCGTCGTCGCCGGCTCACAAGTCAGGTCACTAGACGCTGAAACAGAGAGGAAGAGATGTTTTAAATGGTTTGGGGGCATTTTAAGAGGTACTATCTTTGGCAATATAAATTGTACACGTTATGCTTGCTATTAACATTTAAAAGCTGATATCGACATATCTTTTTGAAAAGTAGAATTTGTTTTATAACTATAACTATGTATTTTCTGAATTCTTTTGGTGTTATTGTAATTTCTGTGTTATGCCATTGGCATAATTTTAAATCATTTATAACACATACAAGTGAGTTTATTTTTGTTAAAGCCTTGTTTAGTCGTGTTCTAATTGAGGTTTACAGACTTGAGTCGGCTTAAAAATCAAAATATTCATAAGTGTTGTTTGGTGGTTTCCAATTCTAGGGATACGATGCCAAGATTGCTTTTAATCTTTTTTGAGATTATGTATTTGTATCTCTGCCTTCTTGATATATATTTTATAACATTATTTTTCTTGACCCAAAACAGCTGCCTCAAGTCACCATACATACCTTTATAATGAACTTTCGCGTTGAATTCAATCGCAATTTAATGAATAAACTGCCGGCATTTTAAGCGCAGATAACAAATTTGTGTTTTTTTGAACAGCTGATCAGCTGAGATCATTTCCAGTGTGTGCACACCACCAAAGGAAAAATTCCAGCCCCCTTACTTCTAGTATTTTTTTTCTTTTTGCCAGTGTGACCTTTTGTTGCCAAGAGCGCCTATTTTAAAATTTTAAGTACAACACAATATAGTCTGATTTAAATTTTTAAATAATTTTTATTTGTTGAATCATTTTGTTGGGGTTTTAATCTATTTAGTTTTTGCGAATGTACTGAGAGCGATCCGTTTGAATCAGTGTGTGTCCGCCAGCATTCAAGACTTGGGTGGCTGTATAAAAAAATAACTGATAAGTGAAATGCGTTTTATAAGACTGCTGTTTTTAAACTCACCAGCCTCTGCCGTCGTCAGAGCCGCAATCAGCGCAAAGAAAAAGCCGCAGATCTTCAGACAGTTCATGTTTACAGAGTGAATTCAAGTTCTACTTTGACAATCGATCTTGCGAGAGTCTGGCTTTTATAGCTTGATCCGATGCAGTGAGCGCTGATTGGGGGCTTGGAAATCCGGAATTTCCATTGGGCATCAAAATACCCCAGGGTCACAATTGGGAATTGAACGCGATCTGAGCTGATAATGCGCGTGCAGCTGATATGCGGCTATACTTTATTTGTTCCTCCATGATAATAAAGATTTTAAAGGGGTAAATTGATTATTTTTTTGATTGATTTTGTAATTTTTACCCCTTAGTACAAATGTATTAAAATGATTATAAATATATGATTAAGAGTTGCACCCTCCGTTAAAGCAAGGCTACCATTTTTTTTAACAACACTTAAGCAAATACAAACAAATTAATAGTAAACATATATATTAAACCACATTTGCAATGAAAGCTTGAATAAACAATTAAAAAAGTTAAAATGTTTGTTACGCTTTTACAAATTTTAAATTTAAAAAATACTTTAAATTCAAAAATTGTAACAAAATAAAATTATACGTTTTGATTAGCTCTGAACATACGAACGCGATCTGAAATGGAGGCAATGCACTTCCTTATCTGAGACAAGTTCGTAATCGAAATCATAAATGCATTAATATAATCAAATAATTTGAAGAAGGGCATTTAAAAACAAATAATATTATCTTGTTATTCACTGTAAAATTTTTTCCTAAAATAAAATTGTTTCCTTAAAAATAGGTGTGGACCCCTGACGGGGATTAACTCTTAACCATAAAAAACCGAAAGTTTAGTTGTAATAAGAGTGCCTTGAAAATAAATTACATACATTACTAATTCAATACTTAATAACATAACCCTTATACTTTTAGTTTCATTTCTATACCGAAGAGTCTAAAACTTTAGCCTAACGCCTTATTTTTAAGCCACATAAGTTTTATTTCGATACTTTCGTGGTAATAGTTTAATAATTAACATATTAAGAAATTGTTCATGCCCATTAGTGTAAAATTCATGTAACAATCATTTAGTTTCTACGATAATTTTGTTTGTGTATAAATATCAAATTTTCTAAAATTTGAGGTTTTATTTTTAAATTTTGCCAAAATTTTCCTTTATAATTTCTACCAATCGGTCACCAAAGCGTTTATAAATTTAAGCAAAAACAAAGTGGTTAAAACGTTTTTTATTATCTTTTATGTATTTTTTTTATACCAAGAACCTAATATAATTTCGACTTATTTTCATTGGGAAACCATTAACTGCCATTTTTTCCAGAGAAACTACAATAAAAGGGTATTGTAAACACACAAAACTGGATTGCATATTGCGCTGTTTGCGCGCAGTTCCAGTTATTCTGATAGTCGTTCGTCTACGTGTGCTCGTATGCGAATGTCAATAACCAGCGCTAATTGAATTGCGTAGAAAACCCAGACAGGTTCTCGCTTCACATGAATCGCCAACATCATCGCCGTGCATCAACAACAACAATCGAATCTCGGATTGACGAGTGAAAAGATTAAGCCGATCTTTTAACCTGTGCAATCCCCCAGGTTGGAATTGCCCAGATCGCTGACTGAAAGTTCTGCTATAAAAGAGCTCCCGGTCTGCAGTGGGGCATCAGTTACTCAGTTGTACACCAAAGCCAACCAGCAAACCAACAAACCACCAAACCACCAAACCACCAAACCACCCAAATCAACATGAAGTTCTTCCAAGCCGCTGCCCTCCTTCTGGCCATGTTCGCTGCCCTCGCCAATGCTGAGCCCGTTCCCCAACGTAAGTTTACATTTGTAAATGTAAAATTAACTCAAAATTAAATATAATTAAATATAATAAAAAATAATTAATATTGCAGCCGGAACCGTGCTCATCCAGACCGACAACACCCAGTACATCCGCACCGGTTAGGACTTGGGAATGACTTCGAATTGCTTAGCTATCCTATTTTGATTTTCAAATAAACAAAATTAAATAAACAAATTTGCTGTTGTTATTCAATTTGTTTTAAAATTACTTTTCCTTAAAACGGAAAATGTAATGATGAGTAAAAGTGGTTAAAAGACTTAAATAACCATGTTCTTAAAGCAAACAAGTTTGGGGTTTTTGAATAAGCATAACGTCCACTAAAGATTTCCGAAATCATAAATATTAAAAAGGGGTTTATTGATCTCACAGAAAGTGTAGAGTAGATTATTTATAAGAAGCAGTTCCAAGAAAACAACAACATTTTGAATTGTTATAACTAAGAGTAAAAATTATACAAGGCGTGATTTAAATACTCTAACAACTTTGCTATCCAATCATAAAATTTGTGTGATGTTTTAAGTATTTAATACTTAAAGGTTAAAATAAACATGATTATCTCAATATATATACATTTCTTATATAAAATAAGCTTAAACACAATCGAACCGATCGTTCTTTTAGAAGCTATCTGTATTTTTGCGTTGCAAGCTTCTAGCTAAAATTTTGAAACTCTTTGCTAGGGAATAAAACCTGAATTCGTTGAGTGTAAAAGTGATAAAGCTAACCTTTATAAACAAAATGTTGATTTAATATATTCAACGGAACACTTGTTGATTGATTTGTAGGAACGTGCAAATTAATTTTAATAAAAAACAAATATTCAATAAGCAATGCACTCCTAAACGTTGCTTTCAGTACAAATATTAATCAATTAAAGCTTGATTATTTGTATATAAAGTCAGCCAATTTGGTGAAATTAATGCCTGACTGCTGATGTTTTTAGTGCTGCTACCTGTTTGATAGAAAATTGTAGTAAGTTCGAGCTCATCGCCCCGTTCAAGACTATCAATTAAATCTCAATAAATAGTCAACAAGCAGTACACTTGTAAGCTTTGCTGAACTGATAGCAATTATTTAACAATCAAATAAATATGAAATTTGTTTGTTTGTGATTCAAAATTAATTGTACAGTTCTATTATTTATTTTTAAAAATTTTTTTAATTTCAGCCCAATTTAGTCAAATAATTGCCTTTCACTTGGTCTTACGGCCTGACCTCTGACGTTTTTAGTGCTTCAACCTGATTGATAGCAAATTCACACACTTCGTCAAAGTCTGAGTGCATATATGTAGTATGCGTATACCTTAAACTTGTTATTCGCATCTAAATGAAAATTGTTTGGAGCTTGTTTTAATTGTTTGACTTGCAAACTGCTGACGGCTAAGCGGCAAAGATGGGTTGAGCTGGTTGAGTTGGATGAATGGTTGTATTGCCATTTGGACTGGAACTGTGGCCACTCGAAACCAACAGCCATATTTATATGCATGCAAACGAGACGGGGCACAACTTGAAACAATTTCACCAAGCGAAAACTATTCGGTTGTCCTGTTTGAGGCTCAGTTTCTGTTTTCGGCTACTCTCCTTCTGCTCCTTTGCTCGCAGATTGTTATACTTTCTGCCGAGCCCACCGCCCACTCCCACTATATGGTTCGTTACATTACATCAACAATTATTTTAAACTTTCGCCGCAAATATTTCCTACGCTGGTTTCTCGGCTGAAATAAATCGTAATAGGAGTTGCCAGTTCAGAATGTCTGCCGGCGACAAGGTGGGGCGATGGAAAATAAATATATATTCTTAGCCGCCTGGACCTGGCCAACTCTAAAGCTAATCCTTTTGATATTCGTGCGAAGGAGTGCCGTAGCCAGGAACAATTTACGCCACCGCTTTTGAAGTAGCCAACTATGCAGCCCTTCCGTTGCCTCCTTTTGCGGTGGATGTGGGTGCAGGTGATGGTGATGGTGATGGTGATGCTGAAGTTGATGGTGCTGGGCAAGTCAATAAGCGAATTCTGGGCTTCCCGCTACAACTCCCCCCGGCCCGGAATTTAACGTTTTGCTCCTGGCCTGAAACGTCGGTTCCGGTTGCTTGCCGGCTTCCCATTTCAAAGCGATTTTCAGCGAAACTTTTTAGCCAATCAGCATTCGATTCCCATTCTGGCCAGCGGGCGTTTATTGAAAATTAATTTCGACAATTTTCGCAACTGTTTTAGCATTTGCAGGCAGGCAGCGAGGCATTCTCCGATTTATCCCTCTGACCGAACGAAATGAACAAATTCCCCAGGCCAGCAGCTCGTGCATTCTCCGCTTTGGACTTTGACTATTTGCCTGGCTGCACCTGCAGGCAGTCGGTCAAAGAGGCAAATAGTTGGCCAGCATCCGGAGTCAAAGCTGATGGACTGCTCATCAGGTGCGAATCACGAACTGAATTGCTCGACTGCTCCTTTGGGAACGAGGACACTCGAGCTCACCGCACATCCATGCAGGAAGCTCCACATTTAAAAGGCACTGATTGGAAATGCAGAGGTTTATTTCCATCACGTCTACTTTTATCGTCAATCTCTGTAACGATTCTAAGATTTTCACCAAATTCAGCATACTCGATTATAACGAGGGCATTTTTGCACAGGTTGTAGTATATATAATTTTATATTATCAAATGTAAGATACCTTTTAAAATATTTTTTATTAAATCGTTTTCAACGGTTACGCAACTAAAAGTATGCATTATTTTAGTAAGTGCTGACTGAGATTAATTGGCCTCAACAACTGAAAGCTGAAAAAGACCACAACGCACAACAAAAAAAATAAAGTCAATATTACTAAATTTTGTGTTTGAAGCCAGCAGCGCAATAAATCAAGCGCAATTTACTAAAACAACTGCGTTTTTTTGAACCGCCGCTGGCCATTTTCTTTATACTATATTTTATTAAGAAAAACAAAATGTTTTAAAAATTGATGTGGTTACTTTTTTTCGATAAATTTTGCAGATATTTAAGCGATTTATAAAGTATATCCTAAATTTATATGACCTTTTTTCCAAATAGTTTGCTTGATATACAAGCGGCAATTATGCATTTAAAATATCGTGCAATATTGGTTTAATTATATATTGGAATTATTTGTGGATTTATGGCAAAAAATTCCCTGTTTTGGTAATAATAATAATTCTCAGTAATGGAAGAGCACAGTGCGGCTGCCCAGCGGCTGTGGCTCTCGTACATTGCTCCAGATCCGGCTGCCATCCTTTCGCCGCAGGACCTCAAACTGGGCCAGCTGGTGGGAGTTGACCCCAGTGATCTGGGAGTCGATCAGCCAGATGGTGGGCAACACCACCTCTCCGTTGTCGTAGGTACCATGGTAAGTGTAGTGACCTCCGGCGAAAGGTCGAAGCAGTGAGCCCAAGTCGAAAGGCGGCAGTTCAATCGAAGATCCTGGCCGCAGGATCCATTTGAGGTGATCGACGATCTGCGTGAGTGGTTCGTTTTTAAAGGGAGTCAGCACGAATAGGTATGATATTGTCAAATATTCACTGGTTCCCTTTTTCTGGGGACATCGATGCAGTGCCTGCATCTCCAGGCTGAATCTCTCCTGCCCTATGGAATGCTCGGACCGCAAGATGCCCCACTTAAATATTGCCTCCACAAAGTGGTAACTACCGCCCAAATTGGCTCCACTTAGGTGGGGCAACATGTTGGGAGCAGTGTAAGTCCGCAGGATCGCCGTACTTCCATTGTTTTCGAGAACCACCGCCATCGGAAGATCCTCATAGTTTGTCCAACTCAATGGCAACTTCAGCTGCCTCTTGATAACCTCGTTCGCAATGTTAATAGGTGAGGGCTGGCGATCTAGCATCGACTTAAGTCTCATGTTTTCCACCGCTTTGGCCACATTCTGAAAGATAGTGCTTCCCGCTCGAATATTCAGAATAAAAGCCACGGCCATTGTGCAGCTAACCAGCATCATAATTAACGACGAGTCCTCAGCCAGATCCATCAGTAGGCCGAAAAAGTCCATGAACTTTACACAAATGTAGTCAATCTTCGGAATCCGCATTGCTCGACGAGGTACGTTTGGTCAGATACTGAATGGCAGTTGTTAGTTAACAGAAAATGTCAATCAAGGAACATTAATTGGTATTTTGGTAAGAAGCTGTCGAGTTCAGGTAGCTTAGACTGTTCTGTTTTGCAATTGTTAAAATTAATATTTTTAAAGACCATGAAAAGAAGAACAAATTAAAAACAACATTAAAGTAATGAATAACAAGAATAGATAAATTTTAAGACGAAATTAGTTTTTAACACACTGTAAAAAAATGTTATTTTAATTCAGTGTTTGAACAAATTAAAACTTTTGCAAATTATTAAATTAATTTTTTTGAATGTGCTATTGCTGAAGATTTATTTGTTTTTTTTTTTGTCTGCCTAATACTAAATATTAACAAATTTAAAAATCCCCCATAAAAGTAAATTTCAGACAAGTATTTAAAAGGTTAGAAATCCTTTGTATAAAATATGTCTTAATTAAAAAAAAAGCTCTAGTTTGTCCATGAATATAACAGCAGACTAGACTAGTAACTTTACTTAGAGTGTTAAAAGGCCCAATGATCCAAGAAGCAGCCTTTTTGCACTTTAAGCACTCCATTGACGAGTGGCCAGCACCAAAGGGATCATTGGAAATCAGCTGCAAGTGGCATTTAACCAATGCTTAGTTTACCCTTTCAATTAACCAGCTAATCGCTCGGTTCAGTAATCAACTAATTACCCAACAAGCCGGAATAACGCTAGGGCCCGTCACTTTGAGAAATGAATATTGGGCCTAAGCATAATGTAATCAAGACTTGGAGTGCAAGGCGAGTCAGGTGCAAGTGCTCGGGTATTGGACAAACTAACCGAGAGGCTTGCAAATGATGGCCGGCCACTCGAAGTGGGTCGAATTATTAATTTGCAGATGGCCAACAAAACGGATAGGAGGATAGGTCAGTTACACATCTGACGGGCCCATTTTACGACTATGTGCGTCCAAAGTTTGGTTGCTCCGAAGTGGGCCATTTGGGGCACATGAAATTGCGACCCCCACAGGCCATGAATGTGGCATCCCATTGTTTGGGCCACGCTGGGCTGGATGCTATATGCTGGATGCACTGGAAGCGCTGAGCCATAAAGCAGATAGGCCCAGGACAAGGCCAGGGGACAACGACAACGACAACGATGTCGGTTTATGTGCCAGGCTTTGTGCCAGGACACACAAACACACACACACACACACACACAGGAGCACGGGCTGGCAAACTCGAATAAATACCTAGCAAACACAGGACTCCTCGGTGGCGTGGCGGCGGGGCATCCTGCATCCTGACTGCCAAAGTTCTCGGCGCGTGCTTCATAAAATAGTCATAATGCATGTTTTTATGAAATATGAAGTGGCCGAAAAGTTGCTGCCCAAGCACAAGCCACCGAAACCCACCGTAACCCAAAAACCTCGCCACCTCTGGCGTCTGCTGGCCTATTCGGTGCATAAGCCAAAACCAAAATGTAAATATTTTGCCATGTAATTATTTGTATACAGGACTCGAATCTCCATTTTATGTGTGTGTGCGCTTATGCAGGGTCTTAAATGTATTAGTGGGGCCATTAAAAGTTGCCAAGTCGCCTGGGAAAGCCAACCGAAGCAGTGAAATTGCATTGGGATTTCGGTCTCGGCTTTGGCTTTGGATTTCATAAAATAATCATTTATTGCCGGCAGCATCGTTTGCTGGAAGGATTTAAGATTGCTACAAAATCACAGACAGGTTATGCAGCTATATATGCGACGAGCAGCTTAGAACTAATCGGGACCATTTTAAAGCGGACATTCTTTATATGGTCTGAAATGGTGCCTTTAACAATATACCAGAATCAATGTACCCCTTTGTTATACAAGAAATGGGCATTAAAATAGCTAAATACCATTGGCTCGAACCTTAAATATTTTCGTACTCCTACATTTTCCCCTATTGCCGCTTTTCTAATACCGGCCAAAATGTCGTATTTTCGTTTGATGTACATAGCTACAGGTAAAGTTCTTTACAAAGAGGGCAGGATAGCGACCTTTTGCGATTGACAGGCTTATGGGTTTACGCTCAGCTGAAACGGTTTTACGGTGAGCTGGGGCTGGGGCTGAGGCTGTGGCTACTGTCAATATTAACTGCTGCCCAGTAATTAAATTGCGACCATGGCAGGCACACAAAAACGGTCGGAAATTATTGCCCCATGGTGCAGGTTTCGTTTATGGCCAACACACCACCCAAAAGCTTGTCATCGGCACTCGAGCCGAAAATGGAGCCTGGAATTGCTGCTGTTCAGTTCGCTCTGGCGATAACTTTTGACACGGCAATACACAAATATCGCTGCAACGAGGTGAGTTGACATAAGTAGGAACATAATAACGAATTTATTGGGCCACTTATTTGCACTCTCCTGGGTAAAAATATATTGGGGCAACTTTTATCGCTGCCGTAGCGAAACTTTACCGGTTGAAAGCAGGGCTAGTAAGTTGGGAACTTACTTTCTTTTTCCACTCAGCGCTGCTCGAACAGAATTAGCAAATCAACGTGATGTAGTTGGGGGGTCTCCGTCCAGGTATTTTGACTTTTAAGTACAAAACAATTCAAACGAAAAATTAGGAAAGTTTGTGTTTGACAGAATTTTCCTGGCTACTACGGGAATTTATTTTGCCGTGCGTGTGCGGTCACACTAAAACCAGGGTTGTCAACTCTTTGGGTCACAGAAAACCTAAAATCTAGCCTTGTAAAAAATCTAGAAATAGCCAGCAAATTTTGTATGGTAACCCAAAAAATCGATACATGGATATTTTTTTTCGTCAAGTATTTTTGAGAATTTAAAAAGGTTGTTAAAAAATGTATTCATTTTTACCCGATGGCACTTTATAATTTTGGCAGCAAGGCTATAAAGATTTAGCGCAAAAAAGAAACTAAAAGTTTTTTTTTTAGTTCTATAAAAAGTGTTTCAATTTTATTTAGAGTGTAAAATTTGGGACAAAGTCCTTGGTCTTAAACTTCTTGTCTCATTTCGCTTCTAATGAAATTGGCCTTGCTGCGAGGCTGTCGGAGTAGCGAATGCTATCCAATTTCTGCAGCAAAGAGTTATTAATTCCAAATTCTGCTAGCCATTTCCACCCGCGTCCACGCTCTCAATGAAATTGCTTGTTTACTTGGAATTATGCAAATTTCAGTGCAATCACAGAAGTGACGAGGCCAAATGACAAACACGAAGGCAGCTCCACCTCCTCATCGTCCCCCTTTCTGGCCAGTTGCATTTCGTCTCTAAGCCCGACCCTGTGACTAAAATCCCCTTAAGTGCTTGCTTTGGTTGGAAATTGAAAAGAAATTATTATAACTTGTATTTGCATTTCGCTGGCTGGACTTCACCGGAGATCTGCAGAAAGATGAGAAAGCGATGGGTTCGACCGCTTCGGGCGCAGTTGATGCCAAAACTTTTCGGGTTTTTCGGGCAACAAAAATCGGGGCATCGGACCGAAACGGGAAATGTATGCAGTGTACGTGCAGTCGGGAGCGGAATTTATTCCCCTTCTGCCCATTTGATAACTGCGATGGATCTGCGTCGTCCTTTCACAGGACTTGTTATTAAAAAACTTTCGCCGAGTGCGTCGCATGTTTGGTTCTACTTCTACAGCTTCTACTCGGCTATTTTCCATCTTATTTTTCCTTCCTCGTCGGCGAAAGTTAAAGTTCAAAATTAAAAGGATTAGCACGGGGCGGGGCAACACGGGGTTAAGAACAACTTTGTACTCTATTTAATGCTAAGGTTATTTTTTCAGCACGCAAATTTTGGGCAGGAAGCTAAGTTTTTTGATTGCAAACTTTCGATGTGACTGCATTTCTTTCGAAATGAAGAGGCTGTGCGAACTTGTGGAGAGCCCGAGCCCAACCATGCGCGGATTCAACGGTGAAATGAAAAACCGCCCAACTTGGTGTACTAAAAAAATTTGATCTGAAAACCCCCCTCGATCCGACACTGGGCCCAGCCCAAGCAATTTTTTGCACCTTAAGTGGATCTGGGATTGTTCTGCCTGCTGCCGAATGAAATCTAATTCAATTTCTAATAATACCCGAAGGAGAGTGGGACATAACTTTCGCAAGACTTGCTTTTGTGTTGCTAAAAACTTTTTGCACCCTACGCTTTACTGCACTCCATATGTGTGTGTTTTCATTCGGGTTTCGAAATTGAAAAGCAAAACTTGGCCTGCATTTGAGCCAATGGAAACTGCATTTGTATACAATACATTCGAGCTGTCCAAAGTTCAGGGTCCTTTTCAGAGTGTGTGTGTGTGTGTGTGTGTGTGTTTGTCGCATCAAACTGTCAACACTTTGGCTTTGACTCGAGCTCCGGGATCGAGAGCTTCCTTTACCGCTCCCCCAACCTTTTGTTGTTGCTTATCGGAGCGCAAAAGTTTGCGTTGGAAGCTGGCAAAGTTTGAAGAACTTTTTCTCCTCCACCAGCAGTAGCAGCAAAAACTATTAAAAATGTATCGACTCATTGGAGCTATGGCTATTTTTTAAACCAAGCTTATCGAATTACACGTTCGACATGGGACTAAAAAGGCGGCTAAGTGATAACCGTGTTTAGCCAACTTGAGCGTTTCATGTGTCTGTGTTTTGTGACTTGTCAAAGGGGAAACAAGAGAAAAATAGCAAGCAATGCACTTTAAGGAAATATCTTGTGCTAAAATTTCAGGTTTTTGATTTAGAAAATTCGGCTAGGTCCATGCTGACTCACACTGGCACTAGAAAAAATACAGCATTCAAAGCAAACAAATCGTATACTTCATTTTATTACCATTAATCGGAAACATTTAATTTTTGGAAATGATTTTAACGAAATATAAAATCGTATTTCTTAAAAGACCTGATCTCAAATGTCAAAATCTTAAATAGAATGCGTCATGAGGCCTTCATAAAGTAAAGATTAAATTTATCTTCCCCTATAAAAACGCATTTTCAGTTTATTTAAATATATCTTAGTGTTTTGAAGCTATAAACAAATTTATATTTTCCAAAGGCTGTATTAATCTAAGGTCAAGAGGAGTCTCATTTTTTTTGCTGTGCAAGAATGACTGCAAATCAATGACAAAATGGAGAGGTGCAAGTGCCGGGCACAAAGCGATTTGCTTGCCAACTTACTGAGCCGTCCTCCAGAAGGCAGTTATGCCAGGACACGGCTCCTGCAGTTTGTCGATGAGTCCTCCCAGAGAACTGGCTGGAGCACCAGGAGTGGCAGGGATCTGGGCACGGGGAGGAGGAACTGGCCATGTCAATGGACGAAAAGTGTCCCTGTCCCTGTCCCTGCTACGTGACTGACATTAAGTATTGTCAGGGCCCTTTCTCCCCCGTTCCGCTCTCAATTCTTTTTTTCATCTATTCGCTAGCCACGTTTATTACTCTTGCAAAAATCATGCAAATGTCCTGGCCAAAGGATGCCAGGCCGAGCTTATGGTCGATTTCCAGCAAAGCAAAGTGTCCTCTAATGGTAATGGGTTCTAAATGCGCCTTTCAACCTTGCAAGCTGTTGGATCCTCGGATCTCTGGACTCTCGCCATTCGGGAAGTGCCATGGCGAAAATAATGTGTCAAAACATAAAAGGGGGTCCAAAGAGACACTCAACTTGAGTGCCGCAGTGGTAACTGCCGAATCTCAAAAGTAAAGTCTGAAAAGATTCGAAAAGTGTCTGGTACAGTTGAAATTTTAAGTTATCCTTAAGGTCACATTTGGAACTGTTGAAGGGAAAATAGGGAAATAGGCTAGCATTTTCACAAAGTATCTGGATTAAGTTTTAAATATTTGTAAATATTTAAGTTACTTAAAGTCGTTAAAGTATTGAACCATTTTTCCCATGCCTTTTTCTTTAGCAAACCACTTTGCCAGCATAGAATGATTAAAAATCTGTTGGCCATAAACTCATTGAATATTTTAAGTTTGCAGAATCGCCTCTCCTTAAATCTGCGCCAATCAATTCGCTATCTTGGCCTTTCCCACTTCCATATTTCCATTTCCAAGCCCAGCACATCTTCATTTACATTTTATTCTGCAATTCTCTCATTTTTTCTAGTGCACTATTCTTTCCTAGAGCAGACTCTGCGCGATTTTCAATGAGGAAAACAAATAATTTTCCTGCTTTCATTTGCAGCATTTTCTCTGGAGCTGATGCTTTGCCGTTCGCTTTCCAATTGCCCTTGGCGGTGGCGGTGCACGGTGGAGATAATCGTCCAATTTGATATTACTTTATAATTCTATTAGTTTTGTTAGATAAGACCCATTATTCGTAGACTAAAAGGGTATATTGTGATCGTTAAAAAGTATGTAACAGGGTGATGGAAGCATTTATGGCCGTTTTAGGTATATATTCTTGATCAGAATCAGTAGCCGAGTCGATATAGCCATGTCTGTCTGTTTAACCGTCTGTCCGACTTGTCCGTCTGTATGAACGTCGAGAACGTCGGAAACTAAAAAAGCTAATGATTTGGCCTGCAGATCCTAGTTTTTCCTAAGCAGCGAAAGTTTTTTTTCAAAATGGCCACACTAACATCCACAAATAAGAGATTTATTTTAGATAATTTGATTCTCAAATTTAGAACAAACTGCATCCAGCTCAAAAGCCATTTAAACTAGTTTTTCGCAAATGAGTGCTGTAGAGCACTCAAATTGAAAACCAAGTTCTTGATAGAGAACTTGCGATAGAAAACTTAAACTCACAAAATAGGAGCAGCTGTTTTGTTTCATGTCTTTTTAATTATATTAAAGGGCTATGATTGCGAGTTTTTAAACCAAAATAGTCCCTGTGGATCCGCGTGTGGTTTGATTTTCTAGTTTGACAGAAACTAATTAATCGGGAACCGAGTACAAATTTCCCCCACTGTGCGATGGTTGTGACATTCAGTTCCACTGCGGTGGATCCACCGTGGAGTGCTTTTGCCGTGGACGCCAGCACCAAACGCTCGAAGCTCTTGCTGCTGGTGGCATTAATATGCAAAGTATGATATGCTGTTGAGCTGCGATTTGTTGCACTCGATTGGGCGAACTTAAATTTACATGCAAATATTGAAACGCAAGCCACGTGCCACACAGCGGTGAGGGGGAGGGGGAAAGGGGGAGGGGGAAAGGGTAAGGGTAAGGGTTAAGGGCAACGGAGAGGACAAACATTTGCAGTTCATTAATGTTGTGCTAGCAAGTGTCATTGAAATTGGATTTGTCAAATCTAATCGCATTATTATTTGAGCATCGTCAGAGCTACTTGTGGCGCATTTCGTCTGCTGAAGCAGCTGAAAACTTCAGTTTACACTCGACTATCCCGCATATATGCGGTTCTGTGCACTCAGCAGAATAAGGCTATCGTTGAGTAGTAAATACGATGTTTTACTTTAATAAGGGAATGCATCTTTGGCATCTTTGATTTGATTGTAAATTGTCTATCAGTGGAACAATAATTTGATCGCTTAGCCTAAAAATAATGTTTAAATCCTTGAAGTCAAACAGAAAAATAAACAAAAACCAACGCCAATTATCAAGAATGGCTACTTTGTACGGCAACATTATAGACACCTGCTACTTTGTGTGTTTTGCCATAAAGTCGCGTGATAGGTTTAACTATTATTAAATCCGGCAATTGAATTTTCACAGACACA